TTCTTTTTTTTCTTTTCTTTTTTTAAATACTTTTTTTTAAAATTTTTATTCAATGTTGCAAAACAAAAATGACCATGTTCAAGTCTTAAAGTCATCCTGAGGCCTTAGTTTTGGTTTCAAATTACACAACATCATGTATGTGTTGCTTCTTTGGGGCTTGTTTTCATAGACCTGGTTGCCTATTTCTTTCAAATCTGGCAACAGAGTGGGCAGGGCGCAGTGTCTAATTGTAGCAGTAAGCTAACGAGTACTGACAAGCTTTATTTTGTTTTGATCCAATGCTGCACAACTGAACTGATCCAATGCTGCTGTGAAGCTATATCCATGTTTAAATAAAAAAATAACCTTAAGGGACAACTTGAATGCTTTTTTTCTCTTAATGCATTGCATAAAGATCGGATCGGGAAAAATTGGTATCGGCAAATTGTCAAAATCAAATGATCGGAATCGGATCGGGAGCAAAAAAAGGTGATCGGGACATCCCTAGTATATAAAGCAGTATTTTAAGTAAAATGACTAGTGCATTTTCTCTGTTGATGCAAAAAGACACATTCAATTATAACAGAGAGCACAGTGGATGTGGGCGTTGTACTGAACACATATTTGATTATTTAGCTCTCATTACAGAGGAAGCACTGCATGGCTGGGCATGAAAGCTGCAGAGGATAGGATTGACAGTCAAACAAAGCAGAAAAAGAGATGCATTTAATTTCCATTTGCTCCTAACCAAGAGCCCAAATCTGCCTTCGCATGAACAGAGGAGAGGACGGATGATAAGAGGAAGAAGAGGAAGACGAGCCTCCTTGGTTCTTTTCTGTATCCCTTTTTCCATCCAGCTCCTGTTCAGCTTATAAAAACACACAGAAGAGAACTCACTTCCTGTCCAGAGAGGTAGTAGGCGGCCAGCAGTCCTCCTATGAAACGAATGTTGACCTCAAACACAGACACCTCGGCATTCTGGGAAAACAAGAGCAGAGAGAAGAAAACTCAACAAGAATGAAACACATTTTTTTCTTAATTTGTTATTTATGTTTTTATAAACTGTGTTGGTATCTTCAATGGGAAGTTTTATTTTTGCTCCATTTCTTACTAGTGTGTGTATCAAGTGGTTTCAACAACCATTACAAATAATCTGAGACTTAAAAGACAAGTTACTCAACAGTAATAAGAAGAATCAAACGTAATTGCACTGCTTTACAGCCTTATTAATAACAACACACATTGTTCCCCCAACACATCATTAAATATTATACGGGAAATGTAATTAAGAAACCTATGACCTTCTGTCCTCTTTAGTTTTAATAGTCAGCGTTTCAGGGAAGTAACAAGGGTTTGCCTTTTATATCAGACGTGCCTACAATTCAGGAAACCTCTGTAAGCACAGAAACAATATATTTATGCAACGTTATAACATAGATTTTCAGGGAGAATATCAGAGGTGTTATTACACTGACTACTAACATTTAGCGTTGATATCAAAAACGATTTTCTTTGTCTCGTTTTTTATCCAGAATTCAATGCTGATTCACAATTAAAGGTCTCCTATTATAGTGTTTTTCATCAATATATTATAGTTCTCAGATATAGACAAACCATGTCTCTGAAGTATTTGGCTCCAAACACCAAACAGATCATTGCAGCATTACCCATAATCCCCTCTGTTTCGGCCCTGTTTCAAAAGTGCTGATTCTCTGTCTGTTACTTTAGATGAAAATAAGGAGCCCCTCCCCACGCCCCTCTGAGAGAGATTTGGTTACAAAGAACACAATGGTGCTCTAGGAGGAGATTCAGGTGGTAAGGTGGGGGGGGGGGGGTTACCTTGGTTGGTGATTGGCTAATGGTTACACAAGCCAAAACATCGTTATGACATCATAAAGTGGACTAAATCTGATCAGCTCATTTTCAGATAGGTTGTTATATAAATGGATCAGGACAAAAAGAGAGATAATCTTTGTTCCTGAAACTTTCAGAGTCTCTTTACACAGAGGGGACACATGAACAAGTGGATTTTGAATAATAGGTCCCCTTTAAGTCACATGTTCCATCACTGCGGAGCTAAGTAGGAGGTTCATGTGGAAAGCATTGAATCTCCAATTGAAATGAATGAAACCAAGTGAAACAATCATTGAGTCAATAGTTCTTTAACCTGCCTACAGTATGAATGTGTACTGGCACCTATTGTACGAGAGCCTTAAGAGTTTCCTTTAAAGCTTCTAAGCACTTTAAACTAAAGCCAGACATTTCCAGCAATTGAATCACGGGTGGATAAACACACACAATAGGTCTATGCATATTTCTTCCACTAATTACGCCTGCAGTTGTCACCCTGGCTGTTACTCTGCAGCTTGGGGTGGACGGGGAGAAAGTATGCTGCTGCTCTCCCTAGTTTTCTTGTTTACAAAAAGCACAGCCTAATTGGGACTCCTCTCAGCAGCCTGCGTGCTCAGGTCAGCATGCCCCCCTTTACTTTCCTTAAAAACACTAACACTTACTGCTTTAAGTGTTTTGGGCCACATCATAACTATTCTCTATAGTCAATACCCAGGTAATGCCGTAAGACTACACACATGCACACCTTGCAGACCATTACAATGTAACCTTGCTCATATATTTTCACATGAGAAGTGAAAACACACAAGAGATGAGGAATTAACCTGCACTTCCCTCTAAAGGGCAGCGACATTACCTCGGTTCACAGTAAATGCACACCACAGGGGATACAGAGGGGGAGAGGTGGAAGAACATTGTCTGAATGTCTAAAAATGAGACTGTCTGCTGCTGTAGGCTTATTCCACATATCCGAATATTTATAAATCATTACCGTAAACTGCATTTATTCTACTGTACAGTGTTCAATTGTACATGTTTTATCTTATTTTCTCGTACATTTACATATTGCTGATTTTTACTTGCACCATGACCACTTGTGAGTTAGTGGGGTCTCCATTCGATCGGGAGATTGCGGGTCTGATCCCAGCCCCTGCAGTCAACATGTTGATGTATCTTTGGGCAAGATAATTAACCCCGAGTTGCTCCCGATTGCCAACAGCGTGTGAATGTTAAAGTCCTTGATCAAAAGTGGCACAATGGTCTGTATGAATGGATAAATAATAACTTGTGAAGACTAGATAAAGCGCTCTGTAAATACAGTCCATGTACCACTGTATCACGTGCATACTTGTCAACCCTCCCGATTTTCGCGGGAGACTCCCGATTTCATTGCCCTCTCTCGGTTTCCTCCCGGGGTCATATTTCTCCCGCATTTCTCCCGATTTCTGAAAAAATCAGATTTACACACGACTGTTTCCACTCGGACTTTAATACAGCTACACCATTGTTTGGTTTCCATGGTAACACGTCTCTTTAGTAGCGCGCTCAACTCAAAGTCTGAGAGGGTGAGGCAGATATTCACAGAAAACAGAATCCACAACTACTCACTGCCCACACATATGCTCCATCAAGGACGGTGCTACAGGTCGCAAGGCAGTGCACTCACAACTACAATAAGCATGTTAATGTTAATCTAACAGCTCCGGCGATCCACTAGCACGCACCCCCCCCCCCAAAATTTTGCATTTTGAAATGCTCCCGATTTCTGAGGTCTAAAGGTTGGCAAGTATGATCACGTGCACTATTTGTTATTGCACCATTTTCCTGGTTATTGTCTTCATGTTTTAAGTGGAATGTAATGTTGCACTGTTACCAGCAACTACGCTGAAGATATTAAAAACCTTTGAAACCTTGGAAGAAGTATATTTTACACACTGTTCTGTGTATCTTATGTAACCAGCTGAGGTGTCTGCAGTCTTGAGTCAGGAGCAGGTGTCCACAGACAATATTCATAACATGTTTCGCTGCTCAACCGTAACAGCCTTCAGTCTCGGGTCAGCGGAGGTACTGCCCTCCACTCTTAATACATCCTATAGGCTCTTTCTGCCTTATGCCTTTCTGCCAGTGTCTAAAGCTGTCATAAATTGTCCTTTAGCACAGGAAACAGACAACCATCCTCCGTCAGGACTATCGTTTCCACTGTGGACCACAGCCTTATGTCTAGGCGTGGTGTGAAGTGCATCATGTGGAGCTTTCTTCCTACATCTTATCTCAGTGAGTTGTTTAGATTTTGGCCTCATAGCTAGGGCTGCTCAATTAAATCGTATTTTAATCGCAATTACGATTTTGGCTTGCAACGATTACGAAAACAACGTAATCGAAATAAAACGATTATTATTATTTTATTATTGGTTTTTCAGTTGAATTATACTTAAAGTTCAGGTTCATCAACTGTTAAAAACATACGGTTCAAATGTCTTTTTTCAATAAATAGATGTTTTCAAAGTAAATGGATAATCGTTTTTAATAATCGTGATATCAATTATTGACCCAAATAATCGAGATTATGATTTTTGCCATAATCGAGCAGCCCTACTCATAGCTGTAACAAATCTGATTCCCTCCTGAAACAAAGGGGACTGCATCAAAGTGGTTTGTGTCAGCTAAAGGAAGACATCAAGAGCGAAGAGCCACGTTGACCTTGAGATGAGATGATTTTGCACACTGAATGTGTCATGAAACACTCCCCTCAGATCCCATGTGTGCCGTTGTGCTGACAGAGGGACGGACCCTGACTGTAAAAGAGATGAGGTGAAGAATGGCTCTCATCTCAGCAGCTCCACCCACGCTCTTCTCTTTTTGAGTAGACCCCACTTTGTCTGAGACCCCTGAGAGGGTATCTCGACCGCTCTTGCTTCTGTAACGAGGTTTTCCCACTGGTTTAAATGATCTGTCTTTTGTTTGTATTTGCTATAAGGTCAAAACCGGTATGCATTTACTTTATAAATATTTTAAATTCTTTCTTCTAATTGAAACACTGAAGCAAATTAGCATATATACCATTAATAAAGTCTCAAATGTTCTCAATTAATAACCCAGTACGCATTTTTTACGCTTCATTATAGCAGACAAATAATCGTTTTAAGTAGATAATGTTACATTTATTACAGATATATATTTATGTAGCAGCAATGGACAGCTTTACAGCAACATTCGTCATTTAAAACATAACCATTTATTCAACTATAAGTGTTTGCAAACATACATTCCTTTAAAACAGGGGTGTCAAACTCAATTTCATGGCGGGCCACATTAGGCCGGTTGTAACTTTAAGACTATATAAATATACTTATAAAACGGACAAGTCAAATCAAGCAATCTGATTGGTTCTTAGCCGTGATATACTGAGCGTATACCACGGGTAGAATTGTAAGTTACTTTTCGCAACAAGTCAGTATCCCTCCGCGTCTGAGAAAAACAGTATACCGTTTGCTTTGAAAACTGGGAACAAGAAAGCAGCGGAGAAGTAACGGGACAGAAGCCCTCCTTTTTGACGCAGCGGTCCAGACATAGACATCAAACGGCAAAACATATTCAGTGTGCAGTTCCTTTGGCATTAGGGCAGGGATATCTAGATACTTTTGAAGGTTTAACATAATGAATTGTGCTACTTTTAAAGCAAGCAACGATGTTTTCAAATCTGTAATCAAAGAGGTCCGCAAAAATACTATCGACCAATCACATTGCTTGATTTGACTTGTCAGTTTTATAAATATATTTGCATATCTTCCGTTACGAAACAAACTTACAAAGCATAAGATGGAAACATTTAAGATTAACTTCGACCTCCGGGGGGTCTTACTATGGAGGAGTGGATTGAGCAGTGCCTATCTCCAGAAAAAAAAGCACCTAAACTACGACATGCAGAGCTACGTGAAGAGCAGGTAGACCAACTGGAAAAGTACCACCATTCAAAAGCTTTCTGATGCGGGTCTTGAAACAAAGCAGAGAAATTATGACCGTTAGTGGCCACAGGTGCGAAAGCTCTCTCCAGAGCTACTGGAAGCCCAATCTCGGGGACCGGAGAAAGTGGAGCAATATTCTCGCCACGCCAAGCAACAGCCTAGAACAACCTCAACCTATACAACTGACCTCGTAAACCATGCTACTGATGCTGGACAGTTTTTCAGTGGCTGCACAATAAACAGCAACATACACATTAATGTAAATAAACAGCCAAATAATGGATCAACGCTCTCTGTCTAATATGTTCGCTCGCTGTTAGTGTTGTTGCATAGCAACCACCTC